TGAAATAAATGTGCATTTTACATTTGCATTCACATCCACGCAGTCATGCTCCCCAGTAACAATTTCTTTATTCTATAAAAAGGATTTCTGTTGGCTAAGGATGTTGGATAAAATGTTATATTCCTCTTCTCAAGCTCACATAAAAGAGCAAATAGATTGATTCCAGTAAAATGCCACATGCAGAATTTTGATGTTCTACTTCCTAGCTGATTTCACAATTTTAAAGAGTATTTTTATCACAAATTTCCACTTTTATTTCTAACTTGGTAGTGAAAGGTGGACAGTGAGACACATAGGTGGCTGCAAGTATCACCTCTTCCTTAATACTTTAAATACATTGTTGAAGAAATATCTTCAGAGCTTATTCAAGATAAACAACATATCTTACAAGTTAAAAGAAACATTCTACACAATAGGAATAATTTGTGTCCCCATAAATAATTGTTTTACATATGTCTAACATCTTTCCAGTACAAAAGCACAATTTGTAAGAAAAAAGGAACAAGAGTAACACAGAACATACACACTCAACTACAGTTCTTATTTCTACTTTATTGTATAATTTTTCCTGCAACCTCATTTCTAATAATAAAGTAACAATAAAAGGTTATCAGAGAACCGAGACCGTAAAATGAGACCTCTTTTCTTGTAATCTTGCCTACTGTTTTTCAGAAAATTCTAGGAATATTATAGGAGGATCAATGTTTTCTACATTGTTAAACATTTCTTAGAACTACATTTGTGCCACATACCATTTTCCTCCATAATTTTCTGCTAGAATAGCTATCATTCTCTCCACAGATCCCAGAATAGCTCTGTGAATAATCACCGGCCTTTTCTTATCATCGCCATCCTTACTGAAAAAGAGTAAGTTTTTTTTTAAAAAAAAATAAAACAATAAATTCTCAGCTCACATAGAGACAATCCTACTAGTACTTCTGATTCTACTTTTCATGGAAAGTCAAAATTTTGTTACTTATACATAGGCAAAATGTACTGGTTTTATTAAAACTGTACTTTCAAGTCACTTGAGTTTTTAGAGGACTGTTGAATAATCAGTGACTTAAAACAAGTGTGCTTGTAGCCAGTGGCACAGGCAAAACTTCCTGAGTTTGAAACGATGCTCAACTGACTCAGCTCCACTTCTGTGCGTTTTAATACTTCATGTTCTTCCTCACTCTTTCTTTTCCGCTATGTCTTGCTTTTAGTTTGTTGCACAGGACCTTACCTGCCCTTACTGTTAATTCCTTTCCTTAAATTACAAACCTGTGATTTAAATAAAAGCCAGCTGCTGTTCATAACAGTATTACCATCTCCCAAAGAGCTACAACATCTACTATAGAACATGCAGCAGGGTGAAAAAATAACTAATCAAACTCTTAATAATATGCAAAACCCAAGAACAGCAAGAAAAACAACCCAGAAAATATGAGTTCAAGTCAATATGGCTGTAAGATTGACTCAGTGGATAAATATCCTTCTTCCTAACTGGAAGTCAAAGTAAGATTTTCATTAAAAACTGTCTGCATTTGGTTTATGTTCAAAGTTAACTAACTTCATCTGATCAGAAGACTGAAGTACTTCTGACAAACTTCCCAGCTCCTGAAGACACGTCTGAATTTGCATGCCATGTCTCCAGGAGACGCAGTGACTGAGCTAAAAGTGAAAACTAACTCAGAGTTTTCTTTGGCAGTGCATATGATCAGTTGTCTTTAAAACTGGCACACGGGACAGATTAGGAGATTTTCCTGTAATTGGCAGTGTTAACAAGTAAACTGAGTTATTATTACGTTGAGGAAATACCTTCAGGTTCCCGACTCGATCCTCTACTCACCAGGGATGCTGCCTGTCCTAACCAGGCTACTAATACACCAGCTAGTTGCTTGTTAAGTGAGCAGCAGAGCATTAATACATCTCAGGTTAATGGGAATTACAGATAATGAGAGTAACCTTTCTCTTTTTTAAAAAAAAAATTATTTAAGAAAGGAAGATATTTAGCTTAAGCACTCACCCAACATAAGTAAGGTTAAATCGAATGGGTAGTTGAAAGTCCAGCTGGATAGTTGCGCACTGATGGTACCTGCCAATGGCATCTTTGATTTTAATATCAATCTGTGTAGCAAAATAACAGTTACTAAATACACTCTGCCTGCATTGTGTCTTTATTCTGTCCATTCCAAAGTTGTATTAAAGTGCTGATTCACTAACCTTAGGACCATAAAATGCTCCATCTCCTGGATTCAAACTCCATTGCTCTCCAAAGTTATTCAGGCTGTTCTGAAGTTGCTAATAATAAACGAGAGGATCGTTAAAAAAGGCATAACAGGGCATTTCATTGCTCTAATGCTCTCAGAGCATTTGCCTTTGAAATACAAACGAAGTCAAAGGCAACATGACTGCTATTGTTCAAGTATGTAGTCATTTATTATAAATACTCTTGAAGGGTAGTTCCTTGTACAAATGTTGCAATTAATTGGAAAAAAAAGGATTTATAAAAATCAAATCAGTTCAATATAAGATGCTAGGTAAGAATCAGAAAGTTCTAATTTTATACCGAGATTTCACATTTAATGTGACTTTTTCCAACACGCATTTCCACTAAGGCCATTTAGCCATTAGGGTTAAGCAATTCCACTATTCAACATGGTTAAATAACCATCTCTGCAAATACAAATATTAAGAGGCTCGTTTGCTCATTTGCTTTTACATCAATTACCTTTTCTGCATGATTCCAGATCTCTAACTCTCCTAGGTAATTTTCTGGTCGTGTAGAAAGATGTAGTTGAAAGGTAAAACCAAAGACAGCATACACTGACTTCAAGAAATCAAGACAGCCCTTAATTTCATCTTCAATCTTAAAACATAAACAAAATATATTGGTTAAAATTTACTTACGTACAAATGCAAGTGGATTTACTGAATTCTTCAGAAGTGGAATTTAAGAGTTCATTGAGTAAAAAATAAATACTGAAAAAAAAAATTTGCATCCTACAACCTCAAATCTAGGTAATGGCTGAAGAGAGAACAGAGGTGTTGTGACTTCAAAGCATAGTAAGAAAAATTATGTTCTTGTTAAGCCTCAGCTTCTGGAGCCAAACTGCACGAGTCAGACTTGACAAGAGTACATCGATTTATTTATATAGCTCCACTAAAACCTATGGCATTACTGACAAAATGAAGTATTTATTGAGCATTACTATGGAAAACAAAATGTGGTCAACAGCTTTTTTTCTTCGCAGGGCGAGATGGGAGATGCAAAAGATCTTACCTTTTGGGATTTACTATCCTTCTAAAGGGAAAAATACTACACAGAAAATATTACGAAAATCCCTATAAATAACATCCCTCAAATAACACTGTTTTCTTCTTTTGCTATAAGTATTTTTTCATTTCGGCGAGAAAAATAAGTAACATAAATTACGGCACTGCTATGTGAGAACCCTGTAACAAAGGAGCTAAGTTCAACAGGCTTCTGACTTCAGCCATGTGGCAGAAGGTTAAGGAATAAGGAATACCAGACAAGTAAGAAGGAAGCACCTAAATCTACCACAAAAACCCCACCAAAAGCAACATGATGCTACAAAGCAACACAACAGAAGTTGAAATAATTTGGAGACTTGTTTCTTGGTTTGCACTGGGAGGCAAAGAGGTTCTTGGGTTTTTTTTCTGGTACAGGGAGGGTTGGTGGCTTTTTAGGTTGGATTTTTTTTACCTGTTCTATCATGCAGAAAATGTGAGCATCATCTTGTTGGAAGCGCCTGACACGAGTCAAGCCACTTAAAGTCCCAGAGAGTTCATTTCGGTGAAGAACTCCAAAATCTGCGAGTCTAAGAGGCATTTCCCTCCAGGACCGTGGACGATGGGCAAACATCAAGCTAGAAGGAACATGAAAGAACCTTCTTTTTATCCTTCTTACAGGAGATTTAAGAGAACACAGGGACTAAACCAAGATCAGTAGAGACAGTAATCACATTTCTAAGTATTCATCTGTTCAGGCTGTCTGCATCCGAAAAGGCAGGCAAATAGAACAAGCGCAGCACTCAGAACCTCCTAGAAACCTCCTAAAAACCTCCTAGAAAAACCTAGAAAAACACTAATTGCTCAGCAAACTCTTGTAAACATACACAATAACATGTGTTGATACTCCATTTATTTCCCCTCAGCCCCATAAAGGACAAATACAGTAACACAATATGCTTTTCAGTTGAGAGTACAGACCAATGTCCTGGACAATTCATCGGTTTAAGCGCAAAAGTCTCCTTCTCAATCTCAAAAGAGAACATATTTTCACTGTAGTGCTGCCAATGTCCTGAAGCTTCCCAGAGTTTACTGTTGAAGATGTTAGGAGATACAACTTCAGTGAAATTACGCCTGCGATACTCCTCCTGTAAAATAAATTCAACATTTAGAAGGGGATAGACCTTTTGACAAGCAAAAGCCTGATTCTTTTTAACTGTGCTATTAGAATGTCGATTTTCTGGGAGCCTGCAGGACTGCTGCACACGTAGGTTTTGCACAACTGGAAAGAGCACAGGTCAATGCTTTACTCTGCCCTACTTTCAGAAAGGTGACAACTGTATAATCATAGTGAAAACCTGGTATATGTTCACATACGCAGATGTGGATGGCTACAAATGGTCTAGCACTTTCAGATAACAAGTTTGTTACCCAGGAGTTACATCAGCATGTACTCACTCGTATGAAATCCACAAGGGTGTTATAAAGAAAGGCACCTCTGGGGAGGAAAAAGCAGCTTCCAGGACTTAAATCATGAAAGAAGAAGAGTTCTTGTTCCTAGGTAAATTGCAAACAGAATGCTGTAATGTCACTTCAGATGGAACTGCAGAACACGACTACTTCACACACCTGGAGACTCTTCACAAAAACAAAGTGCGACAGCAACAAGATGATTTTCAGAAGTCCCCAAGTTCTCAGGAACAGAAGTTAATTTGTCTGTAGTTCTACAGATCTGTATTAATGCTGAAAGTCCATTTGACTGGGGCTACATAAATACACATTTCCTCAAAATCCTGAAGCCTTAACCAATCTTACCTTTAGCAGCCAAAGCACGACATCCGAAGGCTGCTGGCTGAAGCCTGCAAGCAACCAGTCATTCTTTATCAGACTTCTGCCTCAAAACCAGCAGCTCAGCAGCGTGGCTTTGACATCTGTGTAGAACCTCAACCTCTTCAATACCATAGATACTAGACACGTGGACCCTAGGTAGGCTGTTTGATTAATACTAGATAAATTGTTTCTGAAAATGCACAGGAGTAACCATCAACACATACTGTGTGAATATTCAAGTCTCCATGCTTATTTCTAGTAACTCATTAGCATTCCTGTAAAGATCATTTTTCACTTCTTCCCCCGCTGTTTTCTGTAAACTCTTCACTGGTGCTTCCTCTTCCGAGCTCTCCTCAGTTGTTCGTCTGTGCCTGTGAAGGCCCCTCACAGTCTCTTCTAGCGAGAGGTTCATGCCTGCATCCTCCCGGCCAAAGATCCTGACCTTCACTTACACAGGAGTTTTTCAAATAAATGTCTCCCTGCTTTCACTTGTACTGCCCATTAAACACCCACAAAGTCTTTTATCTTCTCTGAAATACTCTCCCTATAACTCCACCCTCCCTACGAAACCATAGCACAAAAGTGACAACAATTAGGAGACTGCACGTCGACATGACCCATCTTAGGTCACAATCCTCGTCTCTATCTAACATCTTCTGATTTGTACTCAATTTAAATCTGTATATCTAGATCTAGTAAAGGCATATATGAATAATATTCAAAACAGCTGAAATACTGCATGTACATACACTTCACTTTTACCTTATTTACGCCTATAATGAAGAATGACCAAACCATATTATTTGTGCAATTTTCAACAATGTCTCTATTCTATGCAAAATAGCGTTTTGGGTAGAATCTGAAAAGACATCAAAAGATTTAAGATATAATTCCCTAAACCAAGGAACCACCTAATTATTCCTTCCCAAGATTAGTTTAACATTTGTATGCAAGTTTGTAGACAGGTTTGTAGAACTAAAATTTTAAAATACAAGTGATACCCAGAAGTTCACAGAACTGGTTCCCATTTAAACTGTCAAATGCCCTCCTCCCCCCCTTCCCAAACACAGAGCTAAAAAACCCCAATCAACCAAAACCAAAAGAGAATGAGTTCTATTATGCAACCGTAAAAGAGAAATAGACCATGAAATAGTGAAAACTTGTACCTTTCCAATCTTCCTATGGTCCCGGTTTCTGGCTTCTTCTTGGAATTTTTCCCATTCCTTCATCATTTTGTTATCAGGAAAGGATATTCCATATATTCTCTGCAGAGTTTCCATGTCAGATTTTCCTTCCCAATACGTAGATGAATTCTGATGCACAAAACCCACACTTTAGGACAATATTTATAATCTCAGGGAAAGGAGGGATAAACACCAATGAATTCAAACGTTATGACTTTATTCCTTGGGAAAAGAATTACAGCATTTGCTTACAATACAAAGACACTTGCACTGCCTTTTAGTCAACATACTAATGCAGAAGACAGGCGAAAACAACTGGTCAAGTCTTTTCTTCTACTCAGGAATCTCGTTTTACCTTGCATCACGGCATGTTTTATTATCTCACATTACATGTTCAAAACATAATGCAGTAGTGAAAGACAAAAGACAGAATGGAACTAACTCACTCTCACAATTAAATCCTAGCTCTTTTGACAATCTAACACTTCATCTCCAGAACTCAAAGAGTTCAACAAAGTTCAGTTAAGAAGCCAGCAAAAGCAACTATGAAGAATGTTCCAATGAGGTCAGTCTAATGAGCTCACCAAAATTCACCTCTTGAAGTAACTTAAACTACCGCATGAGCAGAGGCATCTGCAAACATTGTCTCTGGCTTTCCATTTTTAACCAGCAGCACGTGCAGCTCTGCCAAGTTCCACTTTACTTCCCTTATCTGGAAGATACCACCTTGCAGGGTCAAAATGCTATTTTCTGACCCAAATGATGAGTAACTTGGATGTTCATGTCCTGCAGAACAGAGTGCACACACACCCCACCCCGTGCACAGATGCGACAGCACGTGCAGACTCAAATTAGGACTTTTATTCTACGTCGGGACATTTATTCTGGCGACACTAGCCCACTACTGCCACATCAGCCTAGGCACTGCTCTTTGCTGCCTGTGGGATAACTGGTTCCACAGCTAATCTAGTTGCTGCCAGCCTGAGGTTTTTTGCAGTGCTCGTCATTATAGTCTAAGCATGCATGCTATGCTACTGCACCAATATTCTGATAAAAAAAAGATGTTAATTTTCACTGGCATACTATTGTGACGGTCAAGAATCACTAAACCTTGGAAGCGGATGAATTACGGAAGTCTGTAATTCTACTTGTACAGTGGGAGCTGGGGGAGAAACTAAGGACTATTTTCCGAGTAAGCGAAGAAAACCATTACAAACATTACAAAATATTACCCTTTCATAACCACTTCAGGAGAAACACCAACGGACCCACAGTTTAGTTAAGTTATAATGTACAGTTAATTTAAACTTACCTTCAGTATTTTAAGGGCCTTAATTTTTCCAGTGTGTCTCACATGGGGACCCCTGCAGAGATCAATCAGTGGACCACATCTACACACCAAAAGAAAAGAAAAAGGTTTATTTCAAAACATTCCGACATTTTTAAATGCAGTCACTAATGACATAAAAGTTAATGCTCGGCACGTTCAAACCCACTAATAGGTATACAAATGCAACACACAGCAAAGTCAGGGCATCTTAAATGTAATTGTGCCTTCTACCTGAAACAACATTCACTCAGTAAATACTCTGAGGACATGATCCATTATCAAAAGCATCGTAAACACACTCAGCAATTCGCACAGTTCCACAGGTAAACTCTGTTAAAGTTGGTCAGGAAATTTCAAACTACATCTATCGAACAGGAAAAAAAAAAAAAAGTTTTGCCATTTTCCAACTAACTCGCTTTATCCTGGGCAACAGATCGATCAGGTTCCTCTGCCCAGGCTGAGCTGAACCAGCTTTACCCATTACCTAGTAATTCAATGTCATGGGTGATAATTTCTCTTAATCTGTTTATTGAAACCAGAGGGAATGAAGTGGATTTCCTATTTGTCCACAAGTATAATCTGTCCCAGCAGAGAAAGAAGATTTTACATTAGTAGCAATATGAATTGTAAACTTAAGTTCCAATCACACATGTATTCAGAAGTTATAAATGAAAAAAACATTCTCCTCTCAATTTAAATGAAATATACCTAACTACAGAAATATTTCCTAATACCTTTTAAATTAGTTTTCTTTACCTGTATATTGTGGTAGTTGCTGTGTTTACCTTCTCATTAAGGATACGACACTTGAACTTGTTATACTGCGTGGGGAAACATGAGAAGTCCGAAACATCATTAAAATGGCTAATAAAATCCTATTTTAAAATTACGTATCAATAGTGCAGGTGCATCACTAAAAGACAACTAAAAAAACCAAATCTCATGATCACATACAGGTACGCAAAAGTTCATCATCCTTTCAGAAGAGGTATAAAACAAGAGGGGGAAAAAGAGAAAAATATCTTAGTTTCCCTGAGGGTGCGCTAGGCCCAGTGATTACCACCTGACCAGCATGAAGCACTTCTGGAAGGCAGTTAAAACACAGCGTAGCGAGACTGTGAACGGTTCATGTATAAAAGAGAACTAGAGCACACAGCCTTTTTTGACTTGTCTCTATAAGTAAGCCACAACAGACGTACGCCTTCTGCATCCTAATTTCTTTGTCATTTCACCAAGCTCAAGGTGTTTTTGTGTAATAAGAAACTGGTTTTATTATTGCTTGAAAACATCCTGAACACTTGATACGGATACAGAGAGCGGGGAAAAAGGTGCTCTTCCTTTTCTTTGTTTTACTAGACAGGTACTATTCTGAAGAGCATCAGTCACATGCAGTATTTTATGAAAGTTACATTTTAAAATATCATTGTACCAGAATCACAGGTACTCTAAAAATTTACCTTAAACATGTCTAACAGGATCTCCTTTTTGACTTCCAGTCTTTCAAAAGCTTGCTTCTCTTTTATGATATTTTTACAACGATTCTCTAGTAGTGGGAATTCATTACTAGATACACCTCTAAATAAAAAGACACACACAAAAGAAATATAAATTAATTATTTTGACATTCCCATTTTTAAGTGACCACTTTCTAGTGATCTAATTAGAAAAAACATGCAACGGGGTGTTGTGCTTTGTCATGGTATTTTCCTAGTTTCTTACAGTCGGCTGTACTTTTAGATACTGAACTCAGAAATACAAACTGCATCACCCTGAATGTACTTTTAGATACTGAACTCAGAAATACAAACCGCATCGCCCTGAACAAACCCCCTGCAACTACTTCTAGACCAGTCTTTGACAGGTTTAAATGTCTGGAAGATCTGTAGCTCAAAGTATGTATGATTTAAGAAGAAAAAAAAAAAAAGGCTCAAGCTGCAAGAGGTACTTAATCAGCTGATGCAGCTTCAGTGTTCTCCCTGACTACAGGAAGATAAACAAGGAAAAACAAACCTGTAAAGCTGTGTGCAAGGATTAGAAAAGTAGTAAACACTTCTGTGAGTTACATGCATACGTGCCATTTCTACAAGCAACTATGGCACTTTGAATCCAAACTCCCATCATTCCTCGAAGAAATTGCCTCCTACATCTCTCGGGAACTTCAGCAAATTTGATCCAAACATTTTATTTTTTTTGCAGAGCATTCAACAGCTTCAAGTCTCACGGAGCACGCGTCTGAACATTGCTCTTGGATTTAAATACACACACACTCGACACATCTTCACACACAGAAGACTAACCTGTCAGTTTTAAACTACACTAGATACATGATTTTACTTTTAACATACAGAAACACCACCGAATAAAAATAATTCTGGCACTGAGCTTCAACACAGCCTATTAAAGTTCTTAGACACTGAAATTTTACCTATCTTCAATATACATGTCATAATAAAATCCGTTCTCAATTGGTGGTCCGTAGCATAAGCAGCCCCCAAAATAACCTTCCATGGCCTCTCCAAGAATATGAGCACTTGAATGCCAATAAACCTGTAAATGAAGTCAGGTGAGCAAGTCAGGAGGTCACGGGCATCGTGTAGCTAAACAAAACAGAACAAAGGGATATCTGCAAATGGGAAATACACTGAAACCAATGTTGTTTAAATTCTGAGAGAAGTATAACTATATTCTGTTCTCATTTCCAAGTGTGCTCAACGATTAAAGCAATGGCAGAGGCAGCAACAAAACTACACTGTATTTCAGTCCCCAAGATGACGGCATCTGTGCACGATGCTGTCACCTTAGCACTGACTGCCTCTTGTTCATTTATAACTCTGTTTCTGGTCGGTTAGAAGTCTGTGCAATACTACCGCACTTAAAGCAATGTACCCAATTAAGTTTCCAGTGTTCACTTACATTTATTGATGGGACTGTAAACTACATGACCTGCAATGTCAGAAGATGGGAGCCAACAACCCAGTCAAAACCTGTCTTACGTTCTAAGTCCCTATTAATTCAGATCATTTCTTAGCCACTGCTACAAAATAAAGCCTTTACAGGCTCCTGAAATGCCTCAAACAAGCTTATTCGCATGAGTAATTCTTTGGCAAAATTAACTCTAGTGCATAAAGATAAACATGGGCTTAAAACTGAACCCCATTAAAAAATAAACTTAGGTGTGTCACTCAGTATAGTGCCAGTTCCATTGACTAAGATATGCCTATTTCAGTTCTAATAAACAGTGCCAGTATAAGGAGGTGGAGATTTTATTTATGACTCAAAACTGATAGTGGACAATTTTTTGAAAACCATCATTGCTGCTTCACTGTCTGATCCTCAAACACACAGAATTAAACCACAGAACACACACCTTAGGTCAAGTTAGCAAACAAATTAAGACATTTGGTAGAGCCTCATTTGAGAAATAACCGGTTTATGTAGAAGAGAAGGGGGAAAAAGACCAAGATTTTATTAACCTAAGGACTACAGAAACTCATCAGGGTAGATTTACATTAGATATTAGAAAAAAAGTTCTTTTCTGTGAGAGCGGTGAGGCTCTGGCACAGGTTGCCCAGAGAAGCTGGGGATGCCCCATCCCTGGAAGTGTTCAAGGTCGGGCTGGACGGGGCTTTGAGCCACCTGGGCTGGTGGGAGATGCCCCTGCCCATGCAGAAACCTGCAGGGGAGCTGGAACAACATGGTCTTTAAGGTCCCTTCCAACCCAAACCATTCTGTGACTCTATGACAAATACATTACTTGAATAGTTTGAGGGATTATTTTTCTTCCAAATCAAGATTTTAAAAGCATAATGCCGCCACCAATTTCAGATCCTTTAATCAAGAGGAAACCAGCAAGTGTCTACTTACAGCTTTTGCTTCCTCGTTGTCAAATGTCAGCAGCTCCAGAGTACAATCTCCCTCCAGCGGACGATCCAGGTCCCACAGTTCACCATTCACTTTGGCTATGACTGCGTTTGAAGCCAACCCTTGGCTAGAAAACACAAATGATAAGAACCCAAAATATTTAGGGTCAGATTTGCAAAAGCACCTACATTTTTAAGCCCCGTAAGACCTCACACATATATTGTAGCACCTAAAAAACTTTAATTTTTGTTTCTGGGGTCTTCTTAAGACACTTTTCTACTTTTAGGATGTAGAGAGCTTCCACTCTTACCTGGCAACTCACAAAATTTCAGATGTTTCTGTTAGTTCCTAGAAGTCTCACTGACTGTTGAATTTGTTAACTGGAAGCAAGCATTACGGTCTCAGCACAGAACCTCAAGCATCACTCCTAACAGTAACTTCCCCCAGTTGCTGCTTCTGCATTCAGCTGAATCACAGAATCTTTCAGGTTGGAAACGCTCCCTGGAACCATCGAGTCCAACCACTAACCCAACTCTGCAAAGCTCACCCCTAAACCATTTCCCCCAACCCCACATCTCAACGGCCTTTAAACCCCTCCAGGGCTGGGGACTCAACCCCCTCCCTGGGCAGCCGGTGCCAAGCTCTGACCACTCTTTCTCTGGAAATTTTTCCTCATGCCCAGTCTAACCCTGCCCTGGTGCAGTTTGAAGCCGTTCCCTCTTGTTCTATTGCTCATTCCCCGTGAGAAGAGCCCAGCCCCAACCTCTCCCCAACGTCCTATCAGGTAGCTGTAGAAAGTGATGAGGTCTCCCTTCAGCCTCCTCTTCCAAATAAACCGACTTCAGAGTCACCACCCACTGAGCGTGACGTATATTTTATGCAACAAGAGACGAACGACAGTAACAGATTTAGCACTGCAGAAGTACACCACCTTGTATCTGCAGGTTACCTGACTCCTGCAGCCAACTGATACGGTGTTGTTTTCCAAGATTCCCCTTCAGTCGTCTTCCCATCTGTCAGAGTAATTTTGATCGGCTTGCTCTCATTGGCGGCTCTGTAAGCTAGCAAAGCATCGTGTTCTTTTTTCAGTGCCTCATAAAGCTTCAGTCTGTCTTCTATGAAGTTTGGCTCACTCTCTAGCTGTAACCAATAAATTAGATCACACATGTTTGTGAAACAGAATAAAGGGATTCGCAGCATTTGTGCACCCCCAGAGGTTCCAGGTGAGACCAAGTTTCACTGTGCTAAATTTAGACTAATATGCAGTAAAGCACTTGGAAATAATTGTACACAGGATAGTGCCATCCAACTTGCTGGCTATTTTATTGCGGCTTTCTAATCTTTCAGTGCACTTTCACCAGCCCAGAACCTGGTTTTGGCTGACATCCGAGAGAAGTCTGGATCACTTCGGCAAGCCCTGACTTCTGCCAGGCCATCCAAAGCATTAGATTCAAGTAAGATGGTTCGTTGGAAGTTTCCTTTGGTTTAGTGTAAGGGGAATTATTAGGATCTACAGAATGACAGCTAGTGCTGTCAACACCCTCTTTCAGCCACCACACACTATTTCACGGTTCATGAACCATCGGTCTCTTTAGGAAACTCTCTTTAGTATCCTGGCTCTCTTTTCCCAGCAGCCCAAATCATTTTGTTACAGAAAAAGGAGAGATCTAAGAAAGCAATCCTGCTAGTTACATGCAAGATGAAGCTCTCAGACAATGATTTTTCTCTCTGAGTATGACATAGCAAGCCTTCTTTCCAAAATCTGTGATTTCAAAACCCAGCATTTGAGATTTCAGCACCTTTTCTAGACCTAGTCAAGTAATATTCCTTTTTCCGTTACTATGCGGTATATAATAACGCCTTACATCGTTCTGATGTCGGCTGACGGCTTCATTTTCTTTTTTCTTCTCCTCTTTATTTTGATTCACTGAAACGTTGCAACTCGCACTGGAGACTTTCTGAAAACAGTGACAGTATGAAGCACACCCCTCCGCCTTTAGGACTTTTCCCAGCAACCACTGACACAGAACCAACCCGAGTGGCGCGATGTCGGGCTAAAAAGGCAAAATACCATGGAACGAGGTGCGTTCTTAGCGCAGAGGG